ATTGGGGCAAATACCTTTAGCACTAAAGGCTCGCAATTCCCAAAAAACAAAAAAAAAAAAAAAAAAAAAAGACTGAACGGCCGTGCCCTTCGGGGCCGTGATCCCATTAGCAAAGAGCATCGGATTAAATGCCTGAAGCTGGACGTTTTTGAGGACAGGAGCAGGAAATCGAGATAGAACTGGTTTTCTGTATCTCTGCATAAAACATAGCCAGATTCAGGATTTCTATCCTATCCCCTTCGCTAGTGGGACCTCGAACCGGGGACATTCGTAAGAATTGGAACGATACACAGAGAATGAAGATTAGCCATGACACGCATAAATCGAGAAATGGTCCAAAAAAAAAAGAAAAAAGAAAAAAAAGAAAAAAAAAACATAATCTATTGTGAAAGGCGGTCCCTACTAACAATCTACGGCAAAACTGGGCCACGCTAGTGCTGTGACTTTCTGACCGCCAGATGCATCTGGACGTGATTGCATTCAGAATCATCCCGGTCTGGGCGCAAAAGAGTATATTTAGCAAAGTCCTACCAGTAGTTTGAGTATGCCCTTAGTTGACAGCTATATATATATATATATATATTTAAATATTTAAATATTTTCTCTCACCTCGCATAAATTTTAACTGACGTTCTGCCATGTCAATCAAATGATGTTCTGTCGGAGTTTTTTTTCGGGTTTTTTTTTTTTTTTTTTTTTTTTTTTTTTTTGGTTTTTTTTTTTTTTTTTTTTTTTTTTTTTTTTTTTTTTTTTTTTTTTTTTTTTTTTTTGTTCTGATCTCTGTGCTCTGCTGCTAGTGGCTGCGCCTCCCTTCTTCTTCTTCTTCTTCTTCTTTTCTTTCTTTTTTTTTTTTTGCGTTAGCCCTCTCGCTTCGCTGCACAAGATTCTACATGTATCAGCACCACTTCAGTCTTCACCCAAATGGAATGCCCGGTCATTATAGCTGCATCTGGTCTGACATTTGCGTCAAATACGGCTATAATGACGGGGCGTTCTATTTGGGTGAAGTCGGTAGCACTACTCGGGGTCTTTCGTGTAAAAAAAAATAAAAAATTCTACATGTATCCGAATCCGGAAATGGTCCATGTACATTCGAAACGTTAGATCCGTAATACTGTACTTGGTGCGCTGCGCAGTCCAGATGCATGAAGAGTGTTGTGTACTAGAGAGCTAGGGCCTGATGCTATGGTGCCTTTAGGGAGACGGCGCGTAGATCCACCCCACAACATTCTAAATGTATCTAGGCTTCGGCCTCGACTCGATACACTAAATTAGCTTCAGTACAAATGTGTACTGATCACACCTCAGTCTGCGTATCTTCATGTCTTTAAAATTATGTGCTCGTTCCACCAAAAAAAGAAGAAAAAAAAAAGTGTTCTATAGGCCTCGCTATACAACTCCACTGTATGTACAGCATTCGAAACGCACCTGTACCAGTGGAGCGGTCCAGATACATTCATCCCTGCAACCTGGCTGCCTCAAAAAAGCTGTTTCATTCATTGCCTATTTTCAGCCCTATGCTCACGTCAGAATAGAGAAGCACAGTTCGGGGAATTGGGAAGCAAAAAAAAAAAAAAAATCCCAAAAACTAAAGGGAAAATTTGTCTGGCGCCCCTGTATTTTCCATTTATTTGCGTCGCGCCTCTCCGACATGCGAAATACCCTGCCGTGCCCCTGGGCCTGAAAATCTCTCTGGCAGACCCCCGTCCGTAGTGGCGCAACTTTCCATGACGCCCTCCCACAACCAGCGGTCCCATTCCATTGGGCTATGTGCCATATGCCCTCGTAAGAAGCACCCGTCTTCCTGTGATGCCCCTGCAGCAAAATTTGAATCCAATTTCGAACAGCATTCGTGTTTATGCGCCGCCGCCCATGTCCTGTGCTATGGCACCAGTGTTGGCAGGTACCTATGTGGGAAATTCCCCCCTGAGTGCCTCCAACGGCGACAGGGGCACAGTGAAAAGATTGATGGTACCGGTAGGGTCATATCGGAAATTTACCCAACGGCTATCCGGTAGGGCATGACACAAATTTGATGTGGGTACTGGTAGGGGCACTGCGAAAACATGTGAGGCCCAAAAGACGCCAGGGGTTTTTGAAACATTTCACTACTGGTCAGAGGGGCACGGCAGGGTATTTCGCATGTCGGAGGGGCGCAACGCAAATAAATGGAAAATACAGGGGCGCCAGACAAATGTCCCAAAACTAAAAGGAAAAAATAAAAAGGGAAAGAAAAGAAAAAGAGAGAAAATGGAGGAACGTAGAGTCTACAGCAAAAAGGGCTCTCTTTCTTCTTCTTCTTCTTCTTTTTTTTTTTTTTTTTTTTTTTTTTCCCCAGCGTTTGGTTGGCGCTACCAAGAAGCTACGCTCAGAGCGTGCCAGTTGTTCTACTTTGACTTTTTTTTTTTTTCCTTTTCTTTTTTTTTTTATCTCGTCCAGTTTGAAATTTTGAATTGACGTAAAGATGACACGCAAGGACCCTGCCTCTCTGGGCCTCGCTGTCCGAAATGAGAATGAATGTTGCCATAGAACATGGACCGATACAGATCTTCTTTTTTTTGGGGGGATCTTTTGTGGAGCGAAGCCCTCTATGGCACGACACGTGTTAGCAATGGCGAAAAAAAGAGAGAACGAAAAGCAAAAAAAAGGGAAAAAAAAAGAAAAGAACGACGGGTCCCAGCGTCGCAAGGACTCTCCTTCCGCATAGCGCGTTTCAGGGGCAAAGCGCCTCCCCCCACCACTCACCAAGGCCGAGGTCCCATTAGCAAAGAGGATCGGATAGAACGCCTGAATCTGGACGTGCTCGTGCAAAGGGTGCAGAAAGTCGAGATTGAACTGCTTTTTTCTGCATCTCTGCTTAAAACACGACGTCCAGATTCAGGAGCTTAATCCAACCCTCTTTGCTAGTGGGACCTCGCTCCAAATGTGCAGAATGAGAATGAATCTACGGCTAGAAAATGGAAAGATACACCGCCAAATGTTTTTCTCTTTTTTTTTTTTTTTT